TCTCGCGCGGTCCCCGGCTGGGTTCGGGTCTCTGCTGCGGGGACACGTGTCCATCCGTAGGATGCTCGGGACGCACACCCCCAGCGGGTGCTGGTCCCTGTGTGTTGCATGGTAATAAAGCTCAGGGGTTATACAGCGCTTTTCATCGGGTAGCAGCTTTCTAAACATCAACTAATTAATCACTCGTGCCTACCTGTCAGGTCAATGATTCCTGAGATTTTTAATCTAAAAATATTTTCCTTTTGAAATCCAGATGCACCCATTTTGGCAACTCCATTTTTGATTTGTTTATTTGGGTTTTTTTAATTTTTTTTTTCTTTACTTGTGTTGCTTTCCATTTGTATTTGGCCTTTTGATGTGCTTTAATTCAGTGATTTTTTTTTTTTTTTTTTTTTTTTTTTTTTGTCCTGGAAGAATAGGAATTTATTCTCTATTTTTTTCATAGCAAGTTTATCTCTGCCCTGTAGCCTGTCACCTTTCTTCTTCTCTTTTTGAGGATTTTGGCTACCTTCACCTCTTATTTCAATTTATGGACTGCAGACCCCAAACCATTTTCTTGATGAAATCTGACCTCTCCCCTCGGATTTGTTTGTCGGTGAAGCATGTGGCTGGGTGCCGGTGGTGCCATGGGGGGGTGCCGCAGTGGAGGGGGTTGCCGGACCTGTCTCCTCGGGGCTCGGCAACAGGCACCCGCCTCCAAATTTGGCACCATGCCCCCATCCCTCCATATAGAAACAATCGTTCCTAGCGTGGAATTATTTATTATTAGCTCATCTTATTGGCAAATCTGCTGTTACTGGGCTTTTTTCTATCTTTTCTTTCCCCCTGACCTTCCCACCTTTGTTGACAGCGAATGTTTTAATCACAAAAATGCCAATAAATGCTAGAGTCCTGAAAATAATGATTTCAGTAGAGTTTGAGGCTTAAAAAAAAGCTCTTTTTAGTGTTAGCCAAACCTCTCAACAGGGTCTTTTACTTCCATTTTATACTGATAATAGCTATATCTTTAAATTATTTCAGAGTGAGGAAGACCATACTTGGTGTTTGCCCGGGTTTTTTAGCTGCTCTGGTTTTACTTCTTATTGCCAACTGATTTTAGACTTTTTTTTTTTTCAATGACCGGGAAAATCACTTGCTCTTGTTTGCGCAGTGGATTCGGGGGGTCAAATTCATCTTGAGTGTAAGTGGGCACGGCTTTATGAAAATCCATGCAACGTTACCCAGCTCCGGGTGTGCACGAGTGTGTGCTCGGGGTGTGTGTGTTTACAAAGTGCTTTGAGCTCCTGTGCCAGACGGGATGGGGAAATACAATTCGTTTCTCTTAGGAAATGCCTTTTTTGTTCACTCACCAAGGATTTATTTTATTTATTTTGCAGTTGCACACACCTGTGTATGTGTATGTGGAAATCTTGGGTTATGCTTCTGGCACCCAGGGGACACGTAGGGCACCTCCATCCTGCAGACCTGGGACCTATCCCTTTGCCAAGCCGGCCCGGAGCGGCTGGGATGCTCCCATGTGGTTTTTCCAGGAAAGCCCTCGCAGTAGGATGACTTCTTCTCAAAGCAATAATTGAGGCGGGGAGTACAAAGAGGAGAGGAAAATTCTCTCCTTGGCAAGTCGCTCCGGGAGGATTGATTTATTGTCACCCCTTTTCTTAGTACTGTTTAGACTTCACTGGAAGAACCAGATTCTAAAAAAAGGGTGTTTTCCAAAGAATAAAAGGTATTTTGTACGGTTTTTTGCTTGTTTTTCTGCTGGGTGGCTAAAAGCACGGCCTTACAAGCCCTCTCCATCTGTATTTAAAGATGGGGAAACTGAGGAACGGTCAGCCCTGGGCTCTGTGCTTCTTCCTCTGCCATCTGGGGTTGACGGCTATGCAAACGGTGGAGGATCAGGCTATAAATGACGTGTCAGGTGACATGAGAGGACCCCTGGGTGAGCTGAGGTCTGGGCTAGAGACTCCTGGCTTCCCATCCCATACTTGAATTGGGATACATTCCCTATCACTTCTGGTGTTAAGAATGGGTACATTTATTGGTTTTTTGGTGTTGCTAGCAGTTTTGCTGCGTACTTGAACGCAAAGTGTGGTTTTCTGGATTACCTCTGCGGTGAGCTCTCTGCTGGTTCTGCCCTACTTCTTCCCTGCGAGAAGGAGAGGAAGAGGCAGGGAGGGGAGCGGGGAGCTGGAGTGCCCCTGTCGCTGCTGCTGGCCTGGAGAGCCGAGGCGCTGCGCTTGCGCTCGGAGCACTGGGATGCAGACTGCCTGTTGGGGTACCCTTGGGAAAGGAAGAAAAGCCCCCTTGATGGGAACTGAGCCCCGCCGGTCCAACCTGGGATGAGCATCCCCTTTTGGATGAGCATCCCCTTCCCTGAGTTAAGCCCTGGGCACAACTCAGGCTTTCCTCTCCCCTTTCTGTCTCCTGCAGTACTGAGCATCCGGGGAGCGCAGGAAGAGGAGCCCACGGACCCCCAGCTGATGCGGTTAGACAACATGCTCCTGGCCGAGGGGGTAGCGGGCCCCGAAAAAGGAGGTGGCTCGGCCGCTGCTGCCGCCGCTGCCGCCGCATCGGGAGGAGCCGGCTCCGACAACTCGGTGGAGCATTCCGACTACAGAGCCAAACTCTCCCAGATCCGGCAGATCTACCACACGGAGCTGGAGAAGTACGAGCAGGTAACAGGCTCCTTCGCGGCGGAGGGCAGGGCTGCCCAGGGGTGGTTGTCGGAGGTGGTGGGAGCAGGAGCCGGAGCGGCCGTGAGAGCTGTTGTCCGGCACCACGGCGTGGCTGGGAACAGCCTGGATCGCTACTGACATCTATTGTTAGGAGCATGCGGGCAAATGCAAACTGTTGCTTGGTACTGGAGTGAAAACGTGCTTTTTTAGGGTTGGGAGGGTTGGGGTTTTGTGCTGGGATGTAGCGTGAGAATAGTCTCGGCATGGGTTGCCCCTTTGATTTTCACTTTTCACTCCTCCCCTAATATCTTGCCAAAAATTGGCCCTATGAAGGGGGAGTCCTTTTCCAGGTGCTGGCCTTGGTGCAGGCAGTTTTCCCAGCAAGGTTTGAATCAAAATCTCCCTTGAATATTTTTTCTGCTTGAAAAGTTCTTTTTCCAGGGAAAAAAAAAAAAGTGGCTTTTTTCTTGAGGAAAATGATTCTTAAAAAAAAAAAGAAAAAGAAAAACTATTTGGGTCATGAATGCAGCTATTAGTAACACTGACAATTGCATGAAAAGCTTTGCAGGCCAACGCTCAGAACGGGTTTCTTTCAAATGCTTCCAGATGTTTTGCAGACCTCTCTCCGCTGCTGCACAGCTTGCCCTTGTGATGAATGTGGTTTCTACCCTGAGGTTGCGGTTTATGGAGCACGAGCAAGAAAGCAGCCCTCCTTTTTGGGTGCAGGATGGGCTCCATGGCCAGGGGCTAGGCAGGGTTTCAGGTCTCTGATTTAATGCTTTGTGGTGTGGGGGTTTGGGCCGCCTGCCACTGCTGGGGTCTGTATGGGCAAGCCAGCCCCATTCTACCCGGTTAACTGGTTGTGTGGTGGGGCTGGGGGATGTCTCGCCCCTTCAGGTGCCACGTTGGCCAAGCTGAGGCTGCTGGGTGGTGTCTTCAGACCTACACCCAGAGGTGGTGTGGAATTGCCTTAGATGGGTGCCCCTGGGTTGGAGCTGGAGTCAGGGTGGCCAGGCAGGGCCCTGGTGTTGGAGAAGCCGAGTATGGTCACGCCATGAAAGGCATTTTGGCAGAGCATTGGAGAAGGAGGGGTGGCAGGGCGCAGGGAGCAGGCAGGGGCCAGGTTGGAAGGATGACCTTTGGTGGTTGTCCTCAGCCGTTGCTGTCACTCCCTCGGGGCACGGACGCGGGGTGGTGCGGCATGAGGGAGCCTCAGCCCTCTCATATGGGTAGGAGTGGAGAGCATGTCAGGGCTCATCTTTCAGCCCCCAGGCTGAAGAGGCAGAGAGACACCCCGTGTCCTCTGCCACCCAAGCCCAAGGAGACACCCATAAAGGGCAGAGCCAGCAAGAACCCTTCTCCAAGGGCACAACCAGGGACAGGCTTCAGGTAGGGACCTTCTGCTCCTTCCTCCCCTTGGGTGGGGGTTTTGTTTGTTTGCTTTTCTGGTTTTGATTCTGCAAATTTTTTGCTCCCCAAAAGGACACCCAGGTGAGAGAAGTTGATTCTGCAACTTTTTTGCTCCCCAAAAGGACACCCAGGTGAGAGAAGCCTTTACCCCAGCCCCAGGGGGTGAGACGGGCCACCACATCTTTCCTTGTCACAACCCACTGACGGGGTTGATTTTGCAACCGAGTTGCTTTGCAAATGGCTGTGCCGGGCCACATCTCCGGTATCGTCACCCACAGTCCTGCAAAACTGGGGTTCAGGGTTTCTCAACCTCCATCCCCCTCTCTCCAGTCCCCTTGTTGGTGGCTGGGGGAGCTCAGCGCCTGGCTTCACATGGCATCTGGCTGCTGCTGTGACAGCACGGCGCTCGCCTGCAATTTTGCCTTTAATGCTCTTTATTTCACGCCAAGAGGAGACGAGCTGAAATTGCTCGGGCGTCTGGGAGCAAAGAGGCGCCTGGCTGAGAGCTCTCGTAGCCGGCGCTCACCCCGTGAGATGGGAGCTGTCAGCTGAAGCTGGTGATGGGCAATTGGAGGGGCTGTGCTGGCCTCGGGGATGTCTCCTTCTTGGGTCTGAGCTGCAGGTGGGGATTCAGTTTAGAAGGGTGGGATGGGAGTTAGTAGGTCAAGCCCATGTCGCCAGTCCACAAAATCAATGTTTTTTTCCCCTGCTAGCCCCTTTTTCCCCATCATGGGGTGGCAACTGGGGGTGCTGTCCCCAGAGCAGCTGCCCGTGTCCCAGGATTGCCAAAGGCTTCTTGAGCCATCAGAGTTCGAGTGCTGCTCTCAACCTGTTTTTTTGAGGCTTGGATCCCAGACTGGTTCTGGGAATCGGAGGATCCTGTCATGCCTGTGAGGTGCTCCTGGGGGTGGAGAAGAGGGCAATGAAGTGGCCTTCATCCGGCCCCAAAATCCCTCCCTTGTCCCCCCAGACTCCTCTCGCTGCCCTATCCTCACAGCATAGCATGGGGACAGCAGGAGCAGCCAGGCAGTGCTGTGCCAGCAGCAAACTAATTGGGATTATTACCTGCTTATCCTTACTTGTCAGGGCTCCTGCCTCACTCAGGCTTTAATTATTGTTGTTATTTACTTCTTATCTGATGTGCTACGAGTGCGGAGCAGGGCTGTTTCTCTCTGGGAGCTTCTGTGAAGCACAAGGGCCTCTGCAGGATACATGGTGCTGGGGTCCAGCTGGGGCAGTGGGAGGAGGGACAGAGGGCCAAGAGGTTCATGGTCCTCCTCAGACACAACTATAGCTCCTATCGTCGCATCCAGAAAAACAGTGTAAGGCCTGGGACTTCTTCATGCTTCACATGAGTCTTAGGGCTTCATCTGCCCCAGCTCCATCCATGATCCCTGAGAGCAAAGAAATGGGCTCCTGCCTTTCTCTCCATGTTTGCTGGGAGTCTCTCATGCCCTCTGCTTGGCAGATGAGAGAAATTTATCTCTCCCCTGAGAGACAGCACACCCTTGCTCTGGGTCTGCCCTAGAAAAACCCAGCCATTGAATCCTCTGCGTGCATCTCCTTCCTTAGCAGTGTTGCCTCTGTAGTGTCCTTGACACCATCGAATGACCTTCCGATCCTGGGGTTTCTTTTGCTTTTCTTGCCATCCCAGGCATGCAATGAATTCACCACCCACGTGATGAACCTGCTGCGTGAGCAGAGCCGGACCCGACCTATCTCGCCGAAGGAGATAGAACGGATGGTGAGCATCATCCACCGCAAGTTCAGCTCCATCCAGATGCAGCTGAAGCAAAGCACGTGTGAAGCTGTCATGATCTTGCGCTCTCGATTTCTGGATGCACGGTGAGTTCACCCCCACAAACCTTTCTCCGCACCCACCGTGCAGTATTGTTCAGGCCTGGGAAAGGTGTTTTGAGGTTCTGGAGTGAATCCAGGTCCATCTGAAGGGCAGTGTCTCCTGGTCTTGAGCTGCAGAGGCTATTTACCTTCCTTACCCTTTAGCCATCTCTGGCTCAGCAAGGGAGGGGACAGCAATTCAAGCTTCTGTCTCAGCAAGGCTCCCAGCTGTACCTTGAGAATTGCACATTGCTGGCTTTGCTCTGGCAGAAGAAAATTCTGTGGCATATTCCAGCAAACCTCTGTAGTGAAAATGTGCGCTTCAGTTGGGGGTGAAAGCAAATCCTCCAGCCCGTCCGGTCCCCCCTAGGTTCCTATTCTTTTCCTTCTGTTTCCATCGTCCCAGATTTTCAGGGTGCTGCAGATACATTTCTCTCCCCAAGCTGGTTATATGTATAGGCTGTGGCTTGGGATGGGGAGGAGAGGCAGCTGCGCTGCAGGTACAAGGGAAGAGGTAGCAGACAGATAGCACCCAGCTGTAAATGGAACAAATTTCCCCAAGGATAATATCCATCACTTATTTCTCAGCACAGAGCTTTGCAGAGAGTAGCAGTGATGTCTGTGGCCAGGGCATCCAGGTGTCGGGAATCACCTTCCCAGGTGGAGGAACTGGGTGCCAGTTTTAAGACTCTTCTGTGAGCTGGAGGATGCAGTGATAATTTGAGAAGGAGCCTTGACTTGCTTTAGAAGGTGCTGAGAGAGGAGTTGCCAGCAAGGCGCAGATGAGAAGCCTTCTGGCCATGAGTCTATCGCACCTCATCCTTCCAGGAGCAGGGGAAGGAGGGAGGGAAGTGGGGAAAGTCAAGAGTATCTAAAATTGCATTCCTATTTCTGGATCCCTGGATCCCTGGCACTGATTCCCTTTCCTTTTCCTTCTGTTTTCCCCTCTTTCTTCATGCTAAGGCGGAAGAGACGAAACTTCAACAAGCAGGCTACGGAAATCCTGAATGAGTATTTCTATTCCCATCTCAGCAACCCTTACCCCAGTGAGGAAGCCAAAGAAGAGCTAGCCAAGAAATGCGGCATCACAGTCTCACAGGTGAGAGAGCCCAGAAATACAGTAAAGGTGGCTACTGCTGACGGGAAACCTTAGCGTGGTGAAGGGCACTCTGGACCTTAGTCAAGTCAGTCATGTCCCAGTGTTGAGCATTTAATTACTAAATGAGTTTAGCGCAAGTTAGTGTAAGTGGATGGGAGAGCAAACTGCAGACTTGCAGCTTGAAGCCATGGATGGAAAAGGAGAGTTTGGGATAGAATTTAGAAGGGATGAAGGCTTCATGGAGCGATGGCTGTGTGTGCAGCCAAGGTGTTAACAGCACAGAAATGATGTGGCGTGACCCACAGAGGCAAAGTCTTCTCCTCCAGGAATTAGTGCTGAGCTGGCTTGCAAGAAGAGCTCGTTTAAGCTGAAGGTCCATTCTTCAAGCCAAGGGATTCGAAGGCAGTAGGACGAGTTGCACAGATTTTGCTCGATAAGGTAGAATGGACAAGTCCTGGTGGGAAGGATTTGGGTCAGACAGGCTAGTGGTTATAGTTTGTGCTCAAGGAGGGTGGGCTTTCTCAGGGTCGTTTTCTCTGTCATTACTCTTGTGCTGCAGAACATGACATCTCCCTGACTTGCTTATCCCTCAAAGAACGGTGGTCAATAAAGACAAATTGAATTATTTCCATACATTCAAGGCAGCCACATAGTTCCTGGAGTCTGTAGCTTTGACCTGGGAGCTGCTGGGATTTGTGAGGAGTGCAACTAGTCCTTGAAGTGTTTAACTGTACATTGCCCAGGCCTGCCCTTCTTTATTTCCTCTCTTTTTGGAGCAAGCTGCGTGACTGAAAGCCAGTCTATATGGCCTCTGGTAGTCTTGTCCTCATGTGAGCTTAGCGCTCCCTCTAGGCTCCCATTGCGTTCCCCATCTTGGGCTGCTTCCCAGCCCCAGGCACATGCCTGTTCGTCGCTTGAGTAAACTGAAGACAGCAGTAGCATCTGGTGTCTCAGGAGCAACAGCATCCAAGGGTAGGTGTCGTCACTCTGTTGAATGCCTGCTGAGCGACTCCGATTGCATTCCCTGGGTCAGAAGACCCAAACATTGATTCTGCACAGAGTTACCTACGAGAGACAGCACATATTGGCTTAAGTAAAACTACAGCTGTCCTGATGCTTCCCTTCTCACTTCTAATTCATCTGTTCGCACTTACTTCTCCCTCGCTAAGAGAAAATGCCCAGGAGAAATGCTGCACTTAGGATATTTTTTGACAGTGCTGTATGAGGGCTGCATTGTGCCTGTCTCCAGGATCTCCCTCCCTTCTTCGTCCAAAGAAGGTAGAAAAAACCACACAACCAAGTCTCTGTTTTTGCTGAGGCTAAGTGGGAACATGGGACAGCATGAATCTGTGCAAGTCATGAGCAAAGTTCACCTGAACTCAAAGGCTGTCTGGGGTAGGCAGGTTCTTTGCTTCACAAGTTTTAAGATGAAGATGCATTGTGGTGGCCATTTATTCTGACTTCCTTCCCTGTGGCGCTTAGAGGAGTTCACCCACCAGCTCCAGCGTTTGAAGGCAGAATAGCTGTTGTAGAGAGATGGCCAAGTGGGAAGATCACGAAGGAGGACATTGTCATTAATGAGAGAACTGGACCGAACTGCTCCTCACACAGCACCTGCTCCTGGTGCCATCCTCTCACTCCTGGATCTGAGCTGGGTGCTGATCTGAGCTACTACCTTTTGCCTTCCGGGCGTCTCTGCAGATTATGTTTTCTTTTTCCTGCTCTGCAGCAGTGCAGGATTGGATACGTGCAGTTCGGTAGCAGGTGAATTGGTGGATGAAGCCATTTCTGTGTAGAAGTTGCTGAATGCTCTAGGAGGACTGCAGATAGAAAGCATCATAGGAATAAAAGCATATGGGTTTCAGTTATCAACACCCAAGCCAAAATAGCTTCCCTAAGATGAGGAAAAAATTACGAGATTCCCGGGATGAACATCGAATATTGCCTTCTGTGTCTTGATGCTTGGGCAGTCCATTTGGAAGGGGGAGCGCTGATGTACTTGCTCACCGGCAAGCAAAGGGAGAACGTCCTTGGAGTCCCACCAAAGAGATTGATTTGCTAGCTCAAGATTGCAGCTCCAAGCAATCCTAGGAGTGTTGGTGCTCTTCTGGGAGAGTTGCAGCATCCTCTGGCATTTGCCCATCCTCTTCATCCTGATGAGCTTTCTCAAATAAGCAGCTGGAAGTTGTCTTCTGCTTAGAGACCTGCATGTAGGAAGGTCTGGTGCTCTGTGTTCAGTGTTGTCAAAGAAGCTGAGAGCTGCTTCCCAAACTGTAGGTTGAATATTTCCCACGTCTTCTCTGAAGCTGCTTAGTGTGACATAGTGCCCACAAGTAAACAGGGTTGTCATCAGCAGGGTACCAAGTGGGATTTTGGGAATGCTGAGTTCATGGTGGTTCGGGAGGTACCCTGACATTTTCCCTGGGAAGCAGTTCTGGCCAGATACCACAGCCTGGTTTCACAGACTTCAGAGTTATCCTATCACTGTGCTGAACCTCTGACATGCAAACTTTGGGGTATTTATCCAGACACCTGGCAGGTTGTCCAAGTGACCTTTCCGCCAAGCATTCATACTACTGATCCCAGGATATCACCCTGGCAGTCTGCAAGGATCACTGCTCGGACCTCTCCTTCGGGCTTTCTGAGGTTCATGCATTGCACTGCTGCAGGCACAGGGAAACAGCTTTCGCCAGGACTGGCATGAGCAGAGCTGCACCGCTTCATTTTGCCTTCAGATCTGGCCCATCATTTTCAGCCACTCCCATGACTTCTGAAGCAGCTCAGCCTGCTGCTTTATTTTTTTAAAATAAATCCACTAGCCTCATTCAGCACACTTCTAGCCACTTAGACACATCAGGCCCATACTGGTATCTGGACAAACACAGTGGAAACATCTCCTCGCCCTTTCCAAAGGACACGCTTGTTCCCTGGAACCAAAGTTAGGTCTTACAACAAGCCCTGAGCTCCCTCTCCAGCTTTCCCCTGAAGCTCCTGGTTTATGTAGTGGCTCATGATAAACCATACAAAGCCGAGTTCATCTGGATGAAGAGCATCCACTTCTGGCCTTTTGCACTGATTTCACTCAGGTGGATCAAAAATAGAGCTTCAGTGATATCAAGGCAATTTTGTGTGTCAGCCAGGCTCGAGTAAATTCGTTGGGAGTTTTACCTGAAAGCCACACTGGCTTCTCCAAAGGGACGAAAAGGGGCATCTGGGAATCAGGGCATCTGTCCCTATCAAAGGGACACTGAGGAGGAGTCAAATAAAAAGTTCCAAAATGACACATACTCATTTTCAGATTGTGCAATTTCAGGGTCATTTCACATTCCGAGGTTTTTTTAAACCCATCTGATATTTTCGTGGGGTGGGTCTAGTGGTTCATGTGGAGCATCCCCTTAGTGGACATCCCATCCATAGAAGAACCAGATGCATCCACACAAACCCGGCCTCCCAAGGGGGTCGCACCACCTTTCTGGGGCTTAATGTGGTGCACGTGGTTGGAAGGTCTTCCTTCCACGGCTAGCAAACGGGGAGCGGGGGAAGAATATGCATTGCTTAATCTGAACTAATCCATCTTCCTCACCCAGCTGCACTCTCCAGAGCCGAAACGTTAACGTCTTTGTCTTCTCTTAAACTTGCTCTAGGTATCAAACTGGTTTGGAAATAAGAGAATCCGGTACAAGAAGAACATAGGTAAATTTCAAGAGGAAGCCAATATTTATGCTGCCAAAACGGCTGTCACGGCTACCAATGTGTCAGCCCATGGAAGCCAGGCTAACTCACCCTCAACTCCCAATTCAGCTGGTTAGTTTTTGGTTTTTTTTTATTTTGGGTCATTAGTGTTTGGTTTTTTGTTCGTTTCCCCCTTCCCTCTAATCTCTCTCTCTTTTTCTCCTTTTGGTTATTTCAATTTTTTATTTTCTGGTTTTGGTTGGCTCACTTTTGTGGTCTTTAAAAAAGAAAAAAGAGAGATGGCTTTCGGTTTTGGGGTTGTTTTGTGGGGGTACTTTTATTTTCTTTGCCTTTTTTTTGTTTGTTTTTTCCCTCTTTTCTCTTGTCTTTTCTCTTTTTTTTCTCCCCTTCCCTGTTTTGGTTTTTGTTGGAAAAGCAATGTGATCAGACCTTGTGACTGACAGTGCCACGTTGGGGGTTATATGCATGGATGGTAAACAGAAAACCAGAAAAATTATCCAAAAAAAGATTGCTGGGATTGCTTGCACTTTGGGGGGAGAAAAAAAAATTGAAAAAAACCTCCTTGCATAATGGTTCTGTTTCACTGGGGCTGAAAGCATGAGTGGCCCCAATGGGTAAACCCCAGCATTTCTGGGATGTCCTAACTCATGCCATTTTGGGGGTTGTTTTGGGTAGATTTTTATCCTTTGATGTTCTTTCTGTTGTGGTTATCTTTGATTGCTTACATGACAGTGTCTGGATCACCTGCAAGAGTGTGCTCTGTGTGAATTTTATTTTCCCTTTGTACGACCCAGGGAAATCCATGGGTCTTTCCCTTCCCTTCCCTTTCCCCCTTTCCTGCCCATTTGCTGTGGTTTCCATTTGTTTGTTTTGAGGGTCAAAGGCACAGAGCACTTTGCCCAGATTTCAACTCCTCCGCTAGAGAATGATGCTTAGTTCATGCATGGTACCTGCCACGAGGACGGCCAACCCAAAAATGATCCCAGGCTGCGGTCGGCTGGTTGTGCTCCGCTCCCAAGAGCGATGGAAAATTAGGATTTGATTAAAAGGAGGGAAAAAAGCAATCTTCATGGGTGCCATGTACTTCGTTATCCATACAAATATCTGTGTGCCTCTTTTCTTTTTAGGGGTGGGAGGGAGAGTGAGAATGTGTCACTCTTGTGCCTTTGAGCTCGGTGTCTGCTCATGGTACCCTTTCACCAGGGCATGATGCTTGCTGTTATCAGGTAGGCTACTAAGAGGAAGGAAACGATGTGGGAGCAAAGGGGATGGTGGATAGCAGGAGAAGCTGGGTGTTAAATAGACCACTGGTGATACCCCATGCTAGCTGCTGTCAGGATGTGCTTCTGTAGTGAGTGCAACCCAGCCTGTAACCGGTATCAGAGGAATCACACCCCAGAAGCAGTGTGCTTCTGTAGTGAGTGCAACCCAGCCTATAACAGGTATCAGAGGAATCACACCCCAGAAGCACCCCCAGATCTGGAGGATTTGGGTGGAAGGTGGAGAAAGCAGAGCCAGGGGGTCAAACAAGGGGAGAAACCAGCAGCGTGGGTCTCTGGCTGATCTCCCAAACCAACCCAGCAGTGGGAGGGCAAAGGCAGTCCGTTACCCACGAGCTAACGTGGTAAGCAGTGGTTGATCGCTCTGTGCTGCAGAGCTCGTCCACACCTCGCAGGGACTCGTGTGGATGGCTTGCACAGAAGCAAGTGGTAGAAGGCTTATTCAGTTGGGCAGCAGAGAGAAGTCCCTGCACACAGCTCCTTAGTTTCCAGGGGACATGTTACTTGGTAGGGGTCTGCCCCGCAGAGCTACCTAGAGCAGAGATGTTGCAGCTTTTGATTGCAGGTCAGAAATACTGCTGGGAGGCATCTCTGCCACCTCCTCCTCACCCAGGGCTGCCTATGAGCGAGCTGTGCTGTCTGCTCTGGCTCGGCTGAGGTGCTCAGAGGGCTCAGGTGGACGCAGCAGAATTTTGCAGGGACAGATGGTTTGCAGGAGTTTTGTTTGATTCTTTTCTTTCTGCCTTTTTTTTCCCCCCCTTTTCCTTCCATTGTTTTAACTGCTGAAGATTTAGCTGCAGTTTTAAAAATGTCATCCTTTCCAAACAGCTCACTCAAAGTACCTGGTCAGGTGGAGTCTCTTGACATTAAAACCCCCGTGTAGAAAAGGCTGGAGGATAGAGAGCAGAATTGTGTGTGTTGAGGGAGATGCCTACTGCTTGTGATGCTGTCTTGCAGTCCACATCAGCTTGGACCGAAGAGACACAGCTTTCCTTCTTTTCCTCTTTGTTCAACTGGAATCAGATCCAAAGGTCTGGAATAGCAAGGGAAGAGCCTCAGATTGCTTAATCGGGTTTGGATCTGGCCTACATGTAGTGGAATAGGCATTTCCCCAGTGCCTGCCCAGTTAAATAGTGCTCGGTGCGAGGCTGCTTCTTTGCCTTCCCCACAGGCAGTAACACGGCTGTTTCAAAGATAAATTGGCCAGTACCCTGCAGTAAACAGCTAAGATAATCCCTGGGTAACATTACGCTTTCAAGGAAGGACAAACAGTCTTGTTATTAACGTGTAAGACTTGAGCTCCTGGGTCCTCTTTCTGGCTCGCTTGTCTGCACTCCAGAAACATTGACCTCTTTTCATGTGCCTAATGTGGCAGTGGTGCTAAAGCAGCACATCGGTACAAGGAGCTCGCGGGCCATGGAGAGCTGCCTTCTGCTAGAAGCAAAGTGTTTCTAACCTGGCCCAGATCCCACCACCCTCCCTGTATGCTGCAGCAGTGGCAGAGCGGCAGGGAGCCCCGCTGTCAGCACTGCGATAGTCTCTGGGTCAGCTTGCAGAGATAATGGGTTTGGATGTCCCTGTAGTCCTCTCCTGAGAAGACAGCTGGAAGGGCCTCAGGATTTTATCTCCAACAGTAGCATCCCAGGTTGAGATCTCTCAATCATGAGCTGAGCCATGCGGATGTGACAGCTCAGTCAAGCATCCCTGCATTGCCACATCGTGGGGCAAAGGCACGTCCTGAGGACATCTGAAGTTGTGTGACCTCCCCTGCTTCAAGTTGTCCTGGAGGTGCTAGCAGCAAGAAGCACACCAGTAGACGCTAGGTCTGAAATAACCTGTCCATGAAAGATTTGGAGGATGGTATCAAGGGCCATGAGCCATCCGGATGTGCTGAATTGCCATGGGAGGAATGTCGAAGTGCGTGAAGAGGTGAAGGACTAGGATGGATAATGCCTCTCCTTTTACACCATGGACTTTTTCCTGTTTTCAGATCATTGGCTGAGACTTCGATGAGGAAGGAACCTGAACAAAGGCTGGATTTGCAGGGAATTTTTAGGACTTTCTGGTTTAAATACATTGTAGGGCATGTGGAAAGAAGGAGAGTAGGCAGAGAACAGGTCATGAGAAAGAAGCAACCAGCGATGCAGTCCCTGGAGGGCCTTGATGTTGGAAGAGGAGGTGGAACAGGGTGCAGTGGGACCTGGGACAAGAGCTAAATTCATTTCTGCTGTGGCTACGCAGGCCCATCTGTTCTCTGCATTGATGCCCATGTTACCGGAGATCGGTGAATGGCTACAGTCAGTCAAAGAGATTGGCCACACATTGACAAGGGCAAGGATTGCATCTGTCTAGCCATCTGGCACGTTCAAAGCAGGGTCCCCCATCCTCGGTCACCCAGGCCTGAATGTCAAACACCTTTTCATCCTGAATACGCACAGTTGGGCTTTATCAGCCAGATGTTCAAATAAGCTGAGATGTCTGGCTCATTTGGGCTAACAACTCCCCATCCTCACTTTGATTGCCTGGACAATCTCAGCACAAAAACCACATGGCAAATGAAAGCTATTTTACGTGGGCAGACCCCTTTGCCAACCAGAGTCCTCAAGGGCCACACACAGGTGATGACATCCAGTGAAATCTTCCATGCAGAGCAGCCAAAATTGTCCTGAGCTGTTTTTTTTCCTGCTCACCCTTTTGTTTTGTAAAAATCTTCTTTCAGAGCTGCTGATGGAGGGGATCGTGCTGTCTGGAAATGTACTTCATCAGGCACAGGCCTGATTGCTGTATCTTCTCTTCTTTCCCTTCCTCCATTTGTGGCAATCATTTGTCCAGAGCTCAGCGCTGGAGAGGATCCTGCTTCAGCAGAGAGACTGTTCTGATCATGATCTCGCTGTCTTGAGTGTTGGTTGGCAAGTGAGGAAGAACAAATGTCCTGCTGGGTCAGCCCAGGCTTTTAGACCTGCTATCAAACTCGGTGGCTTTGTCCAGCTGAGGAGCTACATGGTCCATCAAGTTCTTGCCTCATCTTTGGCCATGGTAGAAACACAAGAAAAAGTTATGGGGGGCTTGAATTCTGTGCTCTCAATGTATATATGTCATTGCTGTTGACTTCAACTAGGAGTCTTGTACACATGACCAAAGTCGACTTCAGTGGTTTGGTGCGCTGGATCTCTGTCTCATTGGTGGTAGGTGGTATGAGGCAGCAGATGAGGATGGCTTGATTTCAGCTCCAGTGAACACCATTACTGCGTTTGTTTGTTCTTGATGCCCTTTGAATTGTCGGATACTTTAGAGAAAAGGACTTGTTAGAGGTCTCGGAAAATTTGAAATGAAAGTGGAGACTCAAAACATTAGAGAAGACATTAGAGAAGCTGGAGAAGAAGCTCTCTGAAGAGCTGGCGAAGTGGTGCAAGAAATACCAGCAGTCAAGCTTGTGAAAATTTCTGAATTGGAGGCAAACCTGAAGTGGGTTTTGCTCATCAGAAATGTTAGGGGTGGAAGAGTTCTCTTTGCAGGCATTGTTTTGATATAGGCTTTCACCCAGCAGCAAGAGCTGTTTAAACTTTTCCACCACTCTTTCTGAAGCTGGTGGTGCCCTGATAGAAACTCAACACTAAGGAATAGTGGTGATAGGTCGTGGGTTTGATAAGATGTCTGGATGCTGGATGTGGAACCACTGTTCCACACTGCTACAAGTCATGAAAAGTGTTGGTTTTCCTGGTGTTTTTTTTGTCTGCATACAATAGCAGGGTCTTCCCTGCCAAGGGTCTTCCATGCCAAGATAAGAGCCTTTTCCTCCTTGGTTCACAAGCTCAAAGATGGTTGTTACCTCTCAGTTCTTGAGGAGCCCCAGATCAAATTATGACCACTGAAAACCTTTGGTGTGTTTACAAGGGAGCCTTTCAGAGGGACAGATTAGATTTATGATGGAGCCTCCTCTAGTGGAAGGATTTGACTTGTATTCCTGGATCTTGTCTCCATGGAGGATACCAGAGTCTTAATTTTCAGGGCTCTTCACACTCCTGCCCCCTCTCCCACCCCAGTGCATCAGCCCCTCTTAGCCGTGTCTGAGACTTTGGGCTGTCGTAATTTTCATACATGGCTAGTATGGAGACAGCAGAGTGCTGAAGCAGCAGAGCGGCAGTGCAAAGGGCTCTCTGCAATTATGCCTCTGATACAAATGCATCCATACATGCAGGGCCATTGGTATGCGCATATTTATCTTTGCATCCACAACAGCGGCAAGACATATTTACCGTTTAGATATGCACATATATTGTAAAAATACCCTGTGCCAATAGCAGCGTATATCTTTTAAGTGACAGCTCCAGCACTCCTCATGATTTCCAAGACACCGGCACTCTTCAGAACTAGAGTTTGTGGCTGTTTGCTTATTTTTATTTCTTCCCTCCCAGTCTCAATTTTACAGCTAGGTTTGTTAAGTTTCAATAAAATATCAGTTAAGTTTATGACATTTTTATTTTTTATCCTGTGCCAATAGCAGCGTATATCTTTTAAGTGACAGCTCCAGCACTCCTCATGATTTCCAAGACACCGGCACTCTTCAGAACTAGAGTTTGTGGCTGTTTGCTTATTTTTATTTCTTCCCTCCCAGTCTCAATTTTACAGCTAGGTTTGTTAAGTTTCAATAAAATATCAGTTAAGTTTATGACATTTTTATTTTTTATTATTGTTACAATTTTCTTTTAAAGGTGGGATGAAATGTTGTTCTGCTGGGGGCAGATAGCGGTACCCTGTCAGGTGCTCAGGGATTCCCGAGTCCTCTTGCAGCTCTGCCACTGATTATTTGTGTGATCTCAAAGGTTTCTGCTCACCTTAAAAGAATAGGAGAATATTCTTTGCTTCTTGTGAGTGGTAGCCGCAAAGTTCTTAGGTTCTCAGCCACTGCAGGAGTACGAAACCACGTTCCTGCGCTGTGCTTTTCGTGCCAGTGGTCAAAGCGATCATTCAGAAAACGTGGTAGGAAGCATCTTTGTGTATGTCAAAAGTGCCTATCTTTATGCTTGGAGTTGAGCAGTGTCATGGTGGGCTATCCTCAGTCTGCCAGCTCATTTCCCTAGATTTTTTGCCTTTAAAATAGCAAGTAATCTGAGAGGTCAGGAAGTGACAGGAGCCCTTCCTTTGCCAGCTGAGCAGAGGAGGTGATGGTTATAGCTGCCTTCTGACTAGTCCCGGTTATTTTACGCTGTGCTGTGGGATTGCTTTCTGAAGCGGGTTGGGCAGGGTTGACAGTGAGCACAGACAATGAGCTATTCCTGGCTCTGCTCTTTTCAGGCACCGGTGGGAGGGTCCTGATCTAAGACTCACTGTGCTCAAGATGAGTCTTTCTCTTGACTGTCTTGGGTGTTGTACCTAGCAGTGATGTTTCTGCTTTCCTTCAATTCTGAGAATTGCCAGCGCCTGACAAAAGAGCCAGTTGCAAAGAGAGCAGCAGAGAGTTTAGTGAACATGAAGTCTCCAGCATAGACCTCCCACCTGGTCCCTGACCTTTCTTGGAGATGGCTTCCTTCAGAGGACCCTTCCTGGTCCACCTCCAAGGCAGAGCTGGGGTCTGTCCAGAGTGTTTCTTCACTCTCTGACAAAGGGAGGGGGACTGCCAGGCATTTCTCAGAGCGTACGCATGAGCCATAGTTGGGCAATTCCACCAGGACTGTGGTTGCCAGTCTTCCAAGTTGGAAGTGGCAGTGGAGATGATGAGAGTGTATTTGGGGTTGGAGCTGAAAGCGTAGCTGACCTGGGCCCCTGAAGTCTCTCCTTTCCAAGGCTAACGTCATGTATATAACCAAACCTTGCACGTTGAGCTGTCTCACACTTAACGCGCTGATCTGCACGATAAGTTCTGAAATAATCCCATAAAACCTTTTTATTTATTTTTAACCCCCTTCCCTTCTCCCCCGCCTTCCAGTTACATGATGGGTTTGCTTCTCCCGTTCACTAGTTGAGGAGGTGCTCAGATATCTCGAAGCTGGAAGCAGAAAGCCTTGTTTCTGCAAAGGCGGGATTATTTTTTTTTTCTTTTCATTTGTCGTCTTTTTTTTTTCCTGATCCCACCCAGTTGTCTTCACCGTTACCATTTTTTAGCGTAACGTTGGCGACTGGTGCATGCGGTGGGGAATTTGCTGACAGAGCTCGTTCTTCTGGGGCAGCTGGCCGAGGAGGGCTATGACACCCTTGTGTTCTCTCATGGCCCATCACGATGAAAGACGCTTGCTGACGTGATGGGTACTGGGAGTCTGGCCCAGGTGCCTTCACGTTTTTGCGAGCCTTGCTCCTGGTGCGCTGCAGTTCCCACCAGTGATGGGTTCCTGATGTCCTGAAGGCAAACCCCACGCACCGCTCCCTCACAGGGCTCCCCGTGGCTCAACGGGAGCTCCGGCCATGGAACTGGATGGTGTCTGGATGTGCTCACCCTGCAGAGAGCAGCACAGTGTAGACTTACCCACCCTGATCTGAGCTTCTCAGAAACAGCAGTAGCGTGGGTCTGGTTCACCCTGCTGAAAAGGCTTCTGCTCTCAATAGTGAGGCTTTTTTGGGTAATTCTGTTCTCCAGTGCAGTCTGCCGGGTGGACACCTCCAACAACCAAGATTTTGAAAGCTGCCTGAAGGATTTTGATGCCCTGAAACGAAGGGAAAGGGCTATTCCGAGTCCTCCAGGCTGGGTTTTGTTTGTCTCAGTTGAGAGCATGAAGAATCCTTCCTCCAGCTGAGGAGCTGTTGAAGAATGTTCTTGGCATCAAGCTGTAACAACATGTGGCTTTGAATAACCTCAGAGTGCATCCTTTTTTTTTTTTTTTTTGCTTGCTCTGTTCTTCATACTACTAACCTGACTGTGTGTTTTGGTTTTGTGGTTGCTTTGCATGTTGTTCCTTCCTCTTGGCTGAGAGTCATGGGGTGGATCTTTTTCCTTTCTGTGATTCAGGTTTCTTTCCTTTCCAGGTTCTTCCAGTTCTTTTAACATGTCAAACTCTGGAGATTTGTTCATGAGCGTGCAGTCTCTCAATGGGGATTCTTACCAAGGGGCCCAGGTTGGAGCCAACGTGCAGTCACAGGTAGGGACCCATCCAATGTACTGCCAGTGAATGCATTAGTGTTGGAGGAGCCTTTGATTGTATTGGCACTTCTCCCTCCCGTCCGAAAAGAGCAAATCTCAACCAGCACAAACGAACCAACCAACACTTAAAAAAGGCAAACCAAGCCGAAAAAAACCAACCAACCAACCAAAAAAAGCAACAGCAACAACCACCAAAAAAAATCAATCCAAAAGAAACCAAAACCAAACACCCAACCAAACCAACAACCATAGTCTTGAGGAGACTTGCCCACACTTTGTGAATGCATTTGGCTCTGGCTTGATAGTCGTACTAGGAGGAGAGGAGGTTCAGGAGAACAGGCACGAACTCAAACGAAAGCAGCTGAGGTTTAGGTTCTGCTTGCTTTATTCTTCCAAGGGAAGGGGCCAGATGTTTGGACTGGTGTCTCATTTTACAAGGCTTCCACTTACTCCTTTGATGCCAAACCAGGTGTCTACTGAAAGGCGAGAAATGCTCAAATAAACAGCTAGATTTTTTTTTTTAATTAAAAGCCACCCCTCATCATCTCCCCACCTCCCCAGAGCACACAGGCACGCACACCACCCGTGTACACACCAGCAAGACAGAGCAAGGGAGCTTTGAGCAGCGTTACTGAAACTTCAACCCGTGCTTTGCGCAAAAAGAAAGAATTTAACATAGCCAGGAACTCACTCAGATCTCCCACCTCCCATCCAATGTCCAGTTGTGCCATGAGTCCACTCTGACGTCTAAGGCTCTGTACTGTGTTGAGAGACGACAGCCACTCTGACACTTCTGCATCGGGCAAGGAGAGCTCTCTAAAGCTGAGGTTGCTCCCCTCGCAGTGCTGAACACAGAGCAAGCGTGCCGTCTGTGGGCAACGAGGTGTGCTCGCCACACGTACCACTGCTAGGGCTGGGCTTGGGGAGTGGAGGGAGAGGAACGGGGCGTCCGGAGGAGAGCTGCCGGTGCCTTTGCCATGGTAGGTATATTCCCTTTCTGGGCCCTCTGAAATGAAGGCGCTCGGCCGACTCCAAGGATCTCCTTCCACTCGATGAATGTGGGTCCTCAAGCGCGATGGTGGAGCCGGCAGCAGCGATGCGCTCCAGAGGTCCCACCCCACGCTTGCCACGCTGTTCTCCCTCTCCGTTCTTTTTGTCACAAGACTTGGGACCAAGGAGAGCGTGACGGGCCACCGGGGCAGGCGCGGGGTGGCGAGGGAGGCAGGAGCGGTCCTCTGGCTCAGCTCTCACCGCGAGACCAACTGCGGTTCTCTTTTCCCCCTTTTTAAATATATACCTTTATTACTATTATTATTATTATTACTGTTTGTTTTTATCTTGCCAAAGATGAACTGAAGCGGCTTTGCCCACTAACCTTTCATTCACTCTAATTTGTGTCTTTGTTGTCGTTGGTCTGTTTAGGTGGATACCCTTCGCCATGTTATCAGCCAGACAGGAGGATACAGTGACGGACTCGCAGCAAGTCAGATGTATAGTCCGCAGGGCATCAGTGTAAGAAAAAAAAAATAGGCTTGGGTTCTTGTGGGTTGTGGATTTTTTGTTTGGTTTTTTTTTTCATTTTTGTTCTCTCACTACCAATTATTTCAAAGCCATAGGGCTCAGAATGCCACTTAGTAGGACTTGTCTTTGCTTTTACGGTCACCTAGTTTATTGCTTCTGTATCGGTCATGCCAACGGCAGAGCTTTGCCCACAAAAAAAGTGGCGACCGGGCAGGCTTTGTGCAGGCAGCTGGCGTCTAGGACTGTCAGAGCCGATCAGCGTTCGCCTGGCTCCTGCGGCCACACGCGCTCGGCCGAGAGGAGCTGCTAAACAGGTGACACCTCGCGTAACCGCAGTGGGGAATGTCACCGTGAACACCCCGGTCCAGAGATGGCTCCACACGGGGGCCAATGGCACCATCCCGGAGCGACCGTCTAAAAATAACCCATCCCTGGCCAGCATCCGAAAGCGCAGCGGTGATGGGGTTGGCATCAATAACGATTGCAAATAAAAGGAGAAAAAAAAACCCACAAAGCCAACCAACGTCAACCCAAGAAAACCTCGCCCAACCGGACTGGGGGAGGATGCGAGGGGGAGGGCCGTCTCCGGAGCATCTTCTCCTTGTTCTTGGGTGCGCTGGCGGGTTCTGACTAGCATGAAAATTCGTAGCGACAAGCTGTGTCGCACAGGGGGAAATCGATCAGACACACACAAGGAGAACCCAGTGTAGATTCGGGACAGCAATCCAACTTCATTTCTCAGATCAATCGTCTGCCATCTCAGCAGCAGTGACAGCAAGCTGGGAGAAGAGGACAGCCTGGAAAAGGAGGCTGTGAGCGCCGAGTGGGTGGTGGTGGTGGTGTCCGGGGTGGCACGGAGGAGGGGGCGGCTGGCCCTGGATGTGGCTGGCTGCGGCGGTCCCCATCGAGGAGGCTGAAAGTTGAGGTGTGGTGGTCCTCTGGGTGGGACGGTAGTCCTGCAGCCGAGCACCCTAGTGGGGTGCGCTGTCCAGTGCTATCACCTTCCTGGCCAAGGCTTGTGCCATTTGTCACTGTGTGTATGACAGTCTTCGGACCATCAGCGTGCGAGTGGCCACCACCGGTGCAGGGAGAGGGTGCAGGGAAAGGGGTGCGGCGGGACGGGGGGTTGCGCTCCCCTCTCCTGCGGGCGCCAGGGCTTAGCGGGCAGCTTGACGTCAGGAGGCAGAGGCAGGGAGGATTTGTGAAGTAATGTAATTGAACATGTGCAGATAATTATGTCTCATTACATAAGCCCGTTGCAAAAAAGGCACTTGGAAATGCCACATGAAAGAGCCTATCGTTCCGCATTAATTTCTCCGTGCGCTGAATTTATTCCCTTTCTGGCTTTTTAATACTTGGAGAGTAAATGAATCGCAGGCTGATCATGATAAGAGATGATACTTTTGTACAAATTAAAATACCCCCAAGGAAAGAGGCTGAGCTGATTATGGTTGCAGTTGGCTTGGAAAATAACAGTGGGCTGGGTTAAGCCAAAATTTGGGGGGGAGGGTTGCTGCTGGGGATTACGAGGCAGGGAGGGGGCAATGGGGGAGAGGAGAAGGGAGAGGTAGGGGAAACTCAAAAGCCGAATAGGATGAGGAGGGCTGGGCTGGTATTTCTGACTGTGGTACTGGGACAACCACTATTACCATGAGCAGCACTGGGAACTGGTGAGCTGAGAGCAGCAGGGCTCAGTGGTCCCCCCTGTGTTTCGCAGAAGGGACCTGGGATGGTGGCATCTAATGCCTCCTCAGGCTGGTTTTCTACGAGGGCAGGAGCCCAAATTGGCCCAAATTGAATGTTGTTCAGAGAGGGGCAGGGTGGCAAGTGGGCGAAGGAACCATCTGGGTGGTGACGCCTCGTTTCCCCATAAAGCTGTGGTAGGCATGGGGAGCAAGTCAGGGAGTCCAGAGCTGAGCAGATAGTTTAGAAAGCATCTTCTAGGTTGTCTCTCTGTCCCTGAATGTTTTGCTTCCCCTGTATCCCAGGCAGCATGCTCCTCCCTGTAGCTTTTATTGTCACTTAATGTCTTCCCATCCAGCTAGGTCCCTTGACAGACCTCAGTATCGCTGCCCTCCAAGGAGCATTGGTCCTGGGCAAGGTCCTGGGGAGCTTGCAGGCCAGGCAGTGCAGGCAGGGTTGTCTCATAGCGGGCAGGGCTTCCCTGCCTCTCCCCTGAACTCTTTAACGCCAAGGACGGGCAGCGGGATGCAAAGGAAAGCTGCTAGTGACACAGAAAGCTGCTGTCCCCACGTTACCCAAGCATCCCCGTGAGCTGCTGGAAGGAGATGAGCCGAAACGTAGTCAAGAGCCCTGTCACAAAGATGTCTGCACGGGGCTGAGGTTAAGTCATCCCTGGAGCCCATCAGGGCTGGGAATTCAGCGGCAGGTTGCCCAGCTCTACCACTGCAAACCTTGGCAGGGGAGACAATGCTCGGGGTTTGCCTTCCTTGATGGAGGATGAATTTTTAAATGCGTGTAAGTCATGACAGCTGAGGACAGGAATCTACCCAAAGCCCAGTTCCCTCCGTGGCTCTGCAGCTCAAGGGCCGACAGACCGCTCTGCGGGGTGAAAAGGGGGCTGGAGTTGGTTCTGCATCATTAACAGGATAACGGGCCATGTCCCAGCCATCGCGATCTCTGTGACCCGCAGTGATGGCTGAGGCAGAGCGAGAACAGCCACCTTCTCCTCCGCAGGTGGAGACGGCGTTGGGCAGTGCCGGTCCCGACAAGGGATGCGATTGCTCTTGGTGTGGAGGGGTGATAGAGGCAGTAGCCGTCTTGAGGATACCTGGCCTTGGGTAGCACTGAGAGGAAGAAGGGACCCCCCCACCTGAAAGGAGGGGATGTTTGGGGCCTGATCCAGCCCTTTTTGCAAGCTTTGAGGTTGAGGGGTTTTGCACCATTAAGTGAGAGGTGTTAAGTGTCTGATCCCTCTGGACAGTACTTGTTTGGGGGGGTCTGCCTGTGTACACAGCTGGAGGTCCCCGAGCCTTGGGGTTTCAAAGCATTTAGATGTCCAGGTTCTGGTGGGTTCCAGTAGAAGTTGGATCTTTATTGACATAATCCTCTGGAGAGTCCCACCCCAAAACATCGCCCTTCCTGCCGCTGCCCCGTGGCTGTAAATCCACAAAGTGTTTTAGTTCCCCCATCAGCTGCTATAGCTCATCCCCCATGAATGAATGAGCTATAGTCATCTTAAAGAAAAACCCTTTCAGAAATTTCTTTTTGGGACTTTATTTAATTTAATTTATAGATCATTTAGAAGTCTAAAATGAGAGGCTATTTTTAAAGTTCATCAGAGTGCAAGGTTTTTGATTTAAAACCGCTGTTGTGCAGAGCTGTGCCTATTTACAGAGCAGTGTGTGTGACCGTGATGGTGGTGGTCAGTGGCAGGTTGTGCCGTTGAGTTTTGCACCCACTCTTGTCGGCGAGGATCACCGGGCATTGGTACCTGTAGGAGGTGAGACCTCCTCGCTTGTGCTGAGATCCTTTTCTCTAAGAATTTGAGCCTTGAAAAGAAAGTTGTTGCTCTGTTCCTTAGCAAGCTATGGTTCATGATCACGAGCTGGGATATGGAAGTTGGTCTGGCAGGGCTTCAGTGCCTGAGCTCCATCCATCAGGGATGCCTTGGTGTGTGCTGAAGACTGCCGCTGTGACCCTTGCAAAGTGATGGCCAGACAAGGCTGGATTCTCTGGTGTGTAGTAAGAGCTTCAGTGCGTATCATAAGGAGACCCTGATACAAGCTCTTAAAAGCTCAGAGCTCTGAAACCTCTTTGAGGCTACTCCCCATGTCAGACTTGCCGGTATCTAGTGTGTTTGGAGGCTGACACGCTGCCCCATCGATGGTGGGACAAGGATTTGGTCACAGAAGGTGGGACATGGAGACAGCCTCCATGCGACGCAGAAGGCACCTTTAAAAATTGGCAGAAAGTCATCTCCCAGCCCCACGTAGGAGGCCCGGGCGGAGAGCCAACCAGACTTACTGGAGGTGACAAAAATGCTGTGAGACCTGTGGAAATGGGCACCAAAACCAGCTGCTTCAGCAATCTATCACTGGGGCTCCACCACTTAACCACCAAGGCCTTGCCTGTGCTCTGGCACCAGAAGGTGACATGTGAAGAGATGTCCTGGAGACCATTGCTCTGTCTTTGGCTTCCGCCCCCCCTGAAGAAGTCACAGCTGTGTGCAGGGGCTCCTCAGAGGGTCTGCGAGGAGCATCAGCCTCCTCAGAAGACTCCTTCATCTTTAAGGGAGATCCCAAGGGATCTCCTTGCTTTGGAAAGAGAGGCAGAGCCGGCTGGAATCAGATGCGTCCTGCATGTGGCTTGGTCCATGCAGCAACGGGGTAAACTCCAGGAAAGGAGGGCATGAGTGTGGATGGTGCCTACATGCCCTCTGCCTGGGGAAGGATCCGGCCTTCTCATGGACGGGTTGTCCATAGCAAAGGATGGCATCAAGTCACGGCCAACCTTGGGGCCTCCTTTCCATCGCTTGACCCATAACTTGGGGCCATCCCAGGCTGGGGGTCCAGGAGGGTGTGGGGTCTGTGGAAGGTGCCCCAATGCAGGTCAGCCTCTCCCCAACATCCTTTTCCCACTGGATGCCACCGAGGTGGTCATCGGCAGCACAAACTCCTGCAACACATGAAGGCTGATTCCCAGTCTCGAGTGCAACGGGGCTCCCCAGCAGTTTGGGGGGCAGGGTGCTAAACATCGAGGCCCCGCCATCGCTGTCTGCAAGACGCTCTCCCTCTCGCTCCTTCCAACCACAGCTGGCACGCAAAAGCCTCGCTAAAAATAGTTGAGCACAATAGGGACGGAGCCCTGCTCCGCGCAGCCCCCTCCGCTCTCCCCCCTCCTGCTTGCCGTAATGACCCTGCAAACACTAAATGGCATCTGAGTGCATTAAGCAGCAAACTCTCCGGTGACATAGCAATTACGGCTCTGAAATAGATTTGGTGCGTCACGGAAGATAAGGGTTTTGAAAGTTTCTGTTGTGATTATAGCTTGTAACTCCAACAAATAACAGGCTTGGTAATAAGAGGCTGCCAGCACAGCTATTGTGGTTCTCTCTCACTGATGGCACGTAAATTGCTATTAATGTCCTAAGTGTACTTGAATATGCCAGTCTCGGGGCGGTGGAGTTGGCTCTGTGTCTCTCTTTACGTGGCCTGTCATTGTCGGGCTGATAATCTACAGTAATTGCTGCCTCTTGCAGCGGTCCAAGACGTGTAAGGGTGGATATTGCATCTCGGGGAGCGCAGGGACGGTGGGTCGGGGCCCGGCTGTGGATGGAAGCTGGCGGGGGTGGTGGGCACGGCAAGCCCGGGATCTCTGCAGGTGGGGGGCACGCAGGGCTGGTAATGTTTGTGCATAGTCTGGTTTCATGCTTGCACCTAAGATGAAGTGGAACAGGATTTGCTAACTTGCCAGCAAGCTCAGGTCGTGATTCCTGTCTTCCTTGCTGTTGCCTGAACCCCTTTGCAAGGAAGCGTGTTTGCAAGCTCCCACGTGCACGTGGAAGAACACACAAGCCCATTGTGTGTGTCCACACCTCTGTCTTTTCTGCTTTGTGCATGTCCCGCAGCAACGTGGTTTCATACCTCAAAATGTGGGTTCCTGTGGCTCACCCATGGTCAGCTCTTTGCTCGCATCTCGGCTGCCTCTCGGGCAGGCAGGAGCTGGTCAGCAGCATGGACAACCTGCTGGCAAGTCCCAGACAGCTGCTCAGCACCTCAGGGTGATGAAGCTTTTCCTACCTTTGCACCACTTTGGGTGTCTGCGGGGTCCCGGCAAGCGGGGGCTGTCAGGGCCAGTGATGGATGCCCTGTGCTCGAGGCAGCGGGACAGGCAGCCAGAGAGGGCGAAGCAGCCTGGGCATGCCTAGTGCTCAAACATGGGCAGGAGTTGGGAAGGATTAATTAGCTGAGCACTGAATCAATGTCAGAGCGAGCAGAGGAGGTTGGGTGCGACATCTGCTCCCCTCCGAAGGGGATGGCAGCCACGGAGCCGCAGCTTCTGGGTGCCGCCCTGCCTGCGGCAGCCGGGGCCCTCCAGTAGCTCTGCTGTCGAGAGGCTGAAGAATTTGGCTGTGTCTGTTTTTAGGAGAAGAAACAAGTTGTCTGCCATGCTTTGCTGTACGAACCCTCAGATGGGATATGGTGGTGGCATCTCCATTGCACTGTGGCTTGGGGTCCCTCGAGGAGGGGTGACGGGGAGTGTGGAGGACCAGCCCTGGGGCAGCAGAAATTTGTTTGTGGTTTTACTGCAAAGCGAGGAGGGGAAGGCTCTTGCGTTGGGAGCAGAGAGGTGGCCCAAATCCCTGAACGTGGCCTTCACGGTGGCAGGAGAGGTGTGTGGGCAGCGTGTCTTCCCCACAACAAGGCTTGGTGCTGATGGCTTCCCCCCGCACAGGGACCACGCAGGAGGAGGGGTGCCTGGAAGGGCAGCAAGGGGGAACACGGCATGGCTCAGAGGTTCCTTGGGATCCATCGCTTGTTCTGTGTGTTCATAGCACCTGGGTCCAGATGACGTCCCAGGGTAGGGTTTCTGGAGCAAGGTGTTTGCTATTTTCCTCCTTCCGTATGGGGAAGGGTCCTATTTGGGGGTAAAAAAAACCCAAACAACCAGAGCTCAGGGTTTCTGCAGAAATATGTATTTTTTAAGGGACAGAATTTCCATGAGCACTTGCAATTTACCAAAACACCTGTTCTCAACAGAATTGTTTCTGGCCCCATCCCACTGATGGAGCCTCGTGGTCTGCGGTGGGATGGAGGAGCCAGAGGGGACATTTTTGCCTCCTACATCAGCCCCTGCCGAGGGAGAAGCCGGGGGGGACCGAGACGGATGGTTGGGAAG